CATCCCAGGCTGGAGAGCATCCCAGGCTGGAGAGCATCCCAGGCTGGGGAGTATCCCCAGCAGGTAATATGATGTAGTCTGATGCCAGGTATGTGGGCATCTGCTCTTGGGGTCAGGAACAGCTCAGCGCACGTAAGTAAGTATACAGTCACCACTGTTGGAATTTTCAATCATGATTGAGCCGGGGTCCATCTTGTATCATAATCCACAGTGATATGGTTGTCCTGGTCTGGGGCTACAAAGTGAAGCCTGAGAGCTAGAGTGAGGTACAGGCTGAACCAGAGGGGCTTGCAGACATCCGCTAGATGCCCGGTGGCTGCTCAGCTGTGTGTGCTTGCAGTCTTGGGGAGCTAAGGGAGGAAGCGCAGAGTTGTGGCGATGTATAGAGTATATATCATTGGAGACTGTGGGTGCTGACGTCTACACTGCTGCTCTGTGGAGCTGTGACACTGAGGACGGAGGAGGAAGGAGTTGGAAGAACCTGGGTGGGTGGGGTTTTAAGAAAGGTGGGTTTCCTGGGGCTCCTGTGACAAGTCCCTACAAACTAAGGAGCTCAGACAGTTAGGAGTTTTCCCCCCAGCTCTAGAGCACACGTGTGTCTCCCTCACAATGCTGAGATCAGAGATCCGGTTCATATGCTCAGTCAGACCATGGCAGAAGTGGGTCCATTTTGTCTGGAGTCTCAGGGAAAGCCTCTTGCTTTTCCTGCCTTCAGCAGGTTCTCACAGTCCTGGAACTATGGCCCTACATCCTCTGAAGGCTCCCATGTGGTAGCTCTGATCTGCTCCCTAGTCATGGCTCCCCTGTCACAGCTATGCTGGGGCTCTGGTTGCACACTGTGGTTGCAGTGTGGCACACTGGACTCACCTCCATGATCTGATGCACTACTCGTCCTAAACTTTAGCCTTATCTGCAAAGTCCCTTTTGCCCAGGGAATGTGTTTGCAGAGTCCTGGATACTATCAGGATACACATTTTGGGGGGGTGAGGGGCAGGGGCAGAGCTATTAACTCTTTCACAGCCAAAAAATGCTGCTGTTGATACTTCCCTGTGCTGTGTATCCCTGTGGGTGTCAGAGACAGGTGTGGAGAGCTGTTTAGCCAACAGGGCCCACCAGACAGGAGCCAGGGGAGGGGAGACTTGTTCCCTGAGGTGATGTGGACGCAGGACCCACTAACCTTTCATTTGGGGAGATGTGTTGGACACTGGTGGCATGTACCCTAGGATCCCACAACTTCAAATAGGCAGCCTCTAGAGGAAAGTTGGGGGTTGGGGGTCTGTTTTGCCGCTGCCTTGCCCAAACTTCACCCACACAGGCAGTGTCCTGTCACCAAATGTCCACAAAGATGTATTTAGAAAGTGAGACATTGAACTAGCTTCCTTCCTTCTGGCCCTGGAGCATGCTCACAGACTCAGCCCTTTAAAACACACCCTGGCCGGGCAGTCGTGGCACACGCCTTTAATCCCAGCACTTGGGAGGCAGAGGCAGGCGGATTTCTGAGTTCCAGGACAGCCTGGGCTACACAGAGAAACCCTGTCTCGAAAAACCAAATAAATAAATAAATAAATAAATGAATAAATCACACCCTGCAGCCACACTGTCATATTTCCCTCGTTCCGTTTAAGACAGATGCTCTGAAGCTTAGGGTTGTTTCTAGCTCCTTAATGAGCATCTGTCTGTTCACAGCCCGTCTCCCTGGACCTCTGTATTTAGCGTCTTCCCCACCATCTGCTTTGGATTCCAGGTACGTTCAGAAAGTGACATTTTCAGGCTTCTGAGCTCTCTGGAGAGCTTGAATCACACATGGTACCCTGGGGGGGGGGGTTCCCGGGGGGGGCGGGGGGGGGGGTGGGGGAGAAGTCTGAAGAAGTCTTGCTTGGCTCTCTCAGTGCTCAGCCTTACCTACGGGCTATCTTCCAGAGGCTGGGACATCTTGGCCACCTAGAGGGGGTGTGGACTGTCCTTGAGTTTCTCCCCCACACCCCAGTACCAGCAGCATCTTGTTGGTTGGGTGTGGAATCCAGAGAAGGGGTGGGGTTCCTGGAACATGCCTCTATGAAGAGTGATCACAGAACCCCTACCAGACCTGGGGACAGAGCCACCCACATATGCTTGCACGTATGCTTGCAGAATAGAGAGAAGAAAGATCCTGCCTTCTGAGGCTTTACTGCCTAGAGGGTCTGGGGAGAAGACAGGTGACCTAGTGACAGGACGGGACCAGACAGGCAGAGATATTGGTAGATTATTACTGGAACAAAGCCACCATTTTATGTAGAACCAGTTAGGTCCCCCCACCCTTATGGATCCCCGGCTAATTTGGTCCACTAGGGCGGTGGGAACAGAGATGTCGTCACAGGACTTGGGGAAGGGGAAGGGAGAATTGGAAGCTGTGTGATAATACACAGAATGAATGACCACACCGGGACCAGCTATCAGGAGGCAGATCAACTTTACTCTGAGTGATTCAAGGCTTATAACGTTCTGGGGGACTGAGGGTAGGGACATCCAGGACGGGCAAAGGTCATTGGCTTGGGGTACCTGGAATGCCTCATAGGCATGGAGAAGCATTTCAGGAATCTCTTGTGCTGGCTGAACAGGTTTTATCAGAAAAAAGGAAATTGGTCCTGTAATCTAATTGAGGCTTTGTGATATTCCTCAGGTAGAGGCTTAGAGTTCCCCAGACAAGGTCAGAGAAGGAGAAGCCCCTCTAATGAAGGGAGTCTCCCATATTGCACTGAGCCCAAAGGCTATCCGGTCATGGTGGACTTCCACCTTAATTAGCAGAGTTTTCCCACAGAACCCAGCAGAGGGTGAGTGAGGGACACAACAAGGATGGTTGGGTAGCCTCAGGGCCTTTGTGCCTCCCACCCTCACCCTGCCAGTCTGTTCTCCAGCTTGCATTTGGTTTCAGAGCTGTTTTTGTTAAGTCCCTGCCTGCAGCAGGGCCATTTCTCAGCCTGTAACGACTCACTGCCACTTCTGGGGGTAGGTGACTGGCTCACAAGAAGCTCTCATGCTTTTTGAAAGCTTGCACGGAGCTGATTTTTCTCTGAGCTCTTGCCTGGGTATGGTCAACATGGAGTGGCGGGCAGCCTGTGTAAGCCCCCTTCCGAATGCTCACAGACCTCACCTTGACCTCAGCTCCCTCCTCATGTTCTCCTAGCAACCAAGCTGTGGTTTCCAGGGTTTCCAGGGCTGCTGTGCTGGGGAACAGGAAGGACAGTGTGTGGGGGTGGGGGTGGGGCTCAGGCCAGGGGTGGATCCAGGAGTCTGAGGAGATGCAGGAAGATGCAGGAAGATGCAGGAAGATGCAGGCTTGGGCTGTGAGAAAATACAGGCAGCAAGGCTTGAGGCTGTCAGGGCTTCTGACAGGATCCAAACGCACCACCGTTCTCTGAACACTTTAGAAATAGGGCACCCTGCATCCCAGCCTGAACTGGATCAGTGAAAGGCCTAGAAAGCAGAGGGCTGGGGACTGTGTTTCCTGTCATCCTGGCCATCCAGAACCCCCTGGTCTTGTTTTAAACAGACTTACTGAGGGTCAGCTCCCCTCATACAACTGCCCTTCTAAAGTGCCTGTGGAACTTGAATAGTTAGTGGCTCCTCCTCCTCTTCCTCCTCCTCTTCTTCCTTCTCTTCCTCCTTTTCTTCTTTCTCCTCTTCCTCTTCTTCCTCTTCTCCCTCTTCTTCCTCTTCCTCCTTCTCCTCTTCCTCCTTCTCCTCTTCTTCCTCCTCTTCTTCCTCCTTTTCTTCTTTCTCCTCTTCCTCTTCTTCCTCCTCTCCCTCCTCTCCCTCCTCTCCCTCCTCTCCCTCCTCTCCCTCCTCCTCCTGCTCCTCCTTCTCCTCCCAGCATGGCTCCTGTCTGAGGATCTTCCTGCCCTGGTGGTTTGCAGCCCTCTCTGTGCGATGCTTCCCTCTTGTTGCCTGGGCCTTGGATGTCCCTGCACACCTCATTTCTTTTGACTTTGTTCTTCATTTCTTTGGTTGGTTTTCGTTTTTCGACACAGGGTTTTCCCTGTGCAGCCCTGGCCGTCCTGGAACTCTTGCTCTGTAGGCCAGGCTGGCCTCACACTCAGAGATCCTCCTGACTCTGCTTCCCAAGTTTAAAGGCGTGAGCTACCCTTGTAAAAGCCAAGTGACCTTCAGTTGTGTGAATTGAGGCCGTCACACTATCTGGCTCACGTGTGTCCCCTCTCCTGTGCATTGACTGAGGTCCGGAAGGTCTGACTCCACTTGCTGTCCCCAGATGCTGTCTTCGACCAGGCACACAGAGAAGGCAAGCTCCCAGATGTGTCTGTGCCCTTGAACATATTCATGCTGTACTGAGGTTTGGCTGCATTGCTCCCTGCAAAGCTGAGGCTCTGAGTCCCTCAACTGGGGCATTGTCTATAGTTCCCTAAAGCACAACCTGTGACAGGGTCAAGATGCAAGGTCCCTTCCAGAGCCACAGAGCTGTTAAGTGGCCCTGCAGGATCCACTGGCTGTCCTGACAGGTACACAGAAGTGCTTGCCTCCAGCCCAGGGGCTCAAAGATGCCCAGGATAGACAGGGAGGGTACACCACTGCCCCTGGTTTGTAGGTCAGGGTTACTGTGTCTGTGCTGTACCTGGGTTGGGCCAGGAGGATGAAGGCTGTGCGTGTGCTCCAGGTCTCCTGGGAACACTGTGGCCTCTCCGCCTCACGCCAGGTAGGAACCAAGCATGGGCTATGGGAGGGCTGGTGGAGCTGGAGATTCTTGTTTGTCAGCCTTTGACCACCCATGGAGTCAGGAGGCTTTTGTGTGTTCCCCAGGCATGGGTCTGAGCTGGGGGTGGTGACTTTGTAGCTGAGCGAGGCTGAAGAGACAGAGGCAGGGACACTCATGGTGAGGTGCTGGAGCCATGTGGGAGGATGAGGAGAAGGGTGTCACTGTGATAGGATGAGTCCTGATCTCCATCTCTGCCCTGTGGGCTGCTTAGAGCCTGCTGGTGAGGTCCCAGGGCCAGGGCTGTGCCAGACAAGGAAAGGCAAATTGCAATGGCTGTGACTACGTCATCGTGTTATAGGATATAACTTAACATTGTTTTACTTGCTTGTGTATTCCTGTGTGTGCATGTGTGTACGCGCGTGTACGTGATGGTAATGTTCGAGGTCAAAGGACAAGTTGTGGGTTCTGGGAATCAACCAGGGGCAACAGATTTGGTGGTAGGCTCCTTCTCATGCTGAGCCATCCTGCTCTGACCCAGACCTTGTTTCGGTTTGAAGAGTAAATCACAAGGGTCGGGTAGCCCCACACAACCACCCTAGAGGGCTTTCATTACCTTCTCCATCTTAACACCCACTCCTCCCACTGCCGTCCTGGCCTCTGTTATTACAGATGCGGGGTCCCAGCAGCTTGATGGTGTCCCAGAGGCATCTGATAGCATTTGGGGCTATTTGGAGTTTTTAACATACGTGGGAATTCAGCAGTCCAGGCAGAGATTGCTGCTTGATGCCCTCCAACACACAGGCCGACCTTCATTGCAGGAATGATCCCCTTTTCAAGTGCCAATAACACCGATGCTAGCGCCCCCAGTCCCTGCTGCCGATGTTTGTCTTGTGATCTGAACTTCAGGCTCCTCCCTTGCTTAACAATCTTTCCTTCAGCCTTGTCTTTTATGAAATTCTTCTGTGCTGAAATGAGGCGGGAGAGGTGTCAAGCTCAGTCCTTTTGAGAGCTGTCTAATATTCCACTCGTCGAGTGTCCTGACATTGGCCTCTGCTGTTGGTGGACACTCAGACACTTCCCAGATTTGAGGTGTAGCACCTCCGTGGTCATCCCTGAATGGTCCGAGCTGCGGGTTCTGTCTTCCAGTGTCACGAGGCCGCTGTCTCTATCTACTGCAGCATGCAGAACCAGAGCCTCTCCCACTGGACCCTGGTCTCTGTGTTATCCTTGCTGGCCTGCTGCCTTGTCTACACGCTGACAGGTAGGGCCTGGGGTGGGGGATACCCCAGAGGAGAGGGACTAGCCATGGAAATAAATGGGACAATGCTTTGTGCTGTCAACAGCTTTGCTCATTTAATCCTTGGTGTCTGGTAGGAAAAGGTTACAGATGGGGAAACTGAGGGTCAGGGAGCGTCTGTGGCTTTTCCAAGGTCTCACAGTTAGATATACATAGTTGAGACTCATGCCACACTGAGTGTCCCAAAGCCCCTGTTCTCAGGGAGACGCCTCCCCTGCTGTTCTGAGGTGTGGTTAACACAGATGTGCGGACTCTGAGTGCTCACAAACTTTGTGAGGTTGGCAGAGGTCCTCGGAGGTGGTAAAAGTGTGGTCCAGAAAGTGGCCATGAGAGGCCCATGGTCGGCAGTGTGTGTGGACTCAGACTTGGGTCACAGTACAGCTGACTTTTAGTGGCTACTGTCTGATGGCTTTCCCTGCTTTCGTCTATGGGAGCCTCTGACTTGGAAGGCTTTGGGCTCCATGAAGCTGCTATGCAGTCTTAGACTCACTCCTACAGTCACCTGAGGGACTTGACAGGGTCCAGTCAGCTGTGTGATTGTAGAGAATCAGGGATAGTCTAGGCCTTAGCTTTCCCTTCTGGAAGGTGGGTGTGCTACCAGCTGCTTCCTGGGCTACTATTGCCTGGAGCTCGGTGACAAGGGAACTACATGTCTATTGCCCAGGGCTCTGGGTGCTTCTAGTCAATGATCCTTATCTTAGCCCTGGCCTGAGCCATTAGCAACCAACTAGTCTGCAGGAGTGTTTAGGATGCAGAATAAGGAACCCTTCCAGAACTTTCCAACTATACCAAAAGAAAGGGGGTTATGGGGGGAAGTGTGTGTGTGTGTGTGTGTATGTATGTGTGTGTGTGTGTGTGTGTGTGTGTGTGGTGGGAGTGGGGTGGGGAATCTCTTCTCATTGAAGATGCCTGCCCCGTCTTTCCCACTTGCAGGGGTTTATGGCTTCCTGACCTTCGGGACTGAAGTTTCTGCGGATATCTTAATGTCGTACCCAGGCAATGACACAGCCATCATTGTAGCACGTGTTCTCTTTGCGGTCTCCATCGTGACTGTCTACCCCATCGTGCTGTTCCTGGGGAGGTGAGTCTGTTCGGCTCAGTGCAGCACGGGTTGCGTTCTCTGTGTGTGGGGTGTGTAAGTGTGCACGGTGGGGTTGTAGTCACCTCCAAGGGACAGAGAGAGGGACGCAGGCACGATGAGTTTAGGTGTTGTCCAGCAAGTAAGTATCGGAACTGGCCCAGGAACCTTGATTCCTTTACCCCTGTCCTGCAGACCCTGGGGGACACACAGGGCTGGGTGTGGAGCAGACCCTGCCCTGTGCAGCACTCGTGGAAGGCAGGAGGTCAGTAGCCTCGGGCGCCGGCTGAGCACTGGTATCTATGTATCTACAGGTCAGTGATGCAGGACTTTTGGAAAAAGAGCTACTTGGCCACATGGGGGTCCCCAGTGCTGGCTGACCCCTCAGGGCCATGGGTTCGGCTCCCACTGACCTTCCTGTGGGTGGCGGTGACACTCGCCATGGCTCTGTTCCTACCAGACCTCAGCGAGATCATTGGCATTATCGGAGGCATCAGCTCCTTCTTCATCTTCATTTTCCCAGGTGAGGGGAAGCTGCCCCTAGCATCCAGCAAAAGGCCTTGGTCTACGGCACCGTTCTCAACCTGTGGGTCTCGACCTGTCTGGTAACCAAAAATATTTACGTTATGATTCATGACAGAAAAATTACGCCGGGCAGTGTTGGCGCACGCCTTTAATCCCCAGCACTTGGGAGGCAGAGGCAGGCGGATTTCTGAGTTCCAGGCCAGCCTGGTCTACAGAGTGAGTTCCAGGACAGCCAGGACTACACAGAGAAACCCTGTCTCGAAAAACAAAAACAAAAACAAAAACAAAAAAAAAAAAAAAAAAAGAAAAGAAAAATTACAATTGTGAGGTAGCAACAAAAACAATCTTATGGTCGGGGGTCACCACAACACGAGGGACTGGATTAGAGGGTTGCAGCTTCAGGAAAGTTGAGGACCACTGCTCTTCAGGATCTGGAGGTAGGACCCTTGTGGAATGAGGGCCTGGGTTACGGAGCCATGTACAGGCTGAGCTTTCCAGACCTTTCCTGTCTCCACAACCCTAGGTGGATGTACTGTGTCATCCCATCCCACAGATGGAAAGACAGAGACCCAGGCACCAAGGCACACCCAGCCTGTGACAGAGTGACAGGCTACCTGGTCCGTTGTCAATCCCTCCCACTGTAGGATGTTTGGCTATTTTAAAATACTGTCTGTGTGAAACTTATAAGGCCCACACTACAAGAGAACATTCCATGAGAATCTTCTTGGACTCTCAGATTTGGAAGTAGGTACCATGCTCTGCCGTGAGGCTTTCTGAGGAAGCCTTCCCAGTGGACATGAGTGGAGGCGGTAAGTTCCAGAGGACATGGCAAGTGTATTTTCCAGATGGGAAACCCAGCAGGGGTTAAGACTGGAGAAATACTTCAGAGCTGTTGTCAGTCTTCAGCATACAATAGGGGCCTAGGCACACAGTAGGTGCTCAGCACACAGTAGTTCTCCCATGTGTATCTGATGCAATTCTACTATGGGGAGATCTGTACTAGACAGATATTGAACTTGGGGGATCATGGCCAGATGTTCCTGATGCCCAACCCAGGTTGTCTCTGGGACAGTCGTAACACTTCGGGGTGTGGCTCCTCTGTCTGCACGTAGAAGCCAGGCGGGAAACTGTCTGTTTACCGTGGTTTTGGGTACAGTGTGATGATTTCATGGTGCCTGGCTCTTTCAATTCCCTGGTCTGAGACTACCTCTTTTAACTCTGGCTCAGGTCCCAGGGGAGCCTTTTCAAAGCTCCAGCTCTTGCCTGTGCCCAAGTGAACTGCCCGGGGAGGGTCAGCGTGGGGCAGCTCTGTGGGAGCTCCAGGCAGGACTGGCAGGCTTTGAAGCTGAACAGAACTAATGCAGTGCTGGAGGTGGGACCCAGGACTGCATGGCAGGCCAGCGTTCTACGGCGAACGCACAGTTCCAGATATACTATATGTATATGCATGTGTATATGTGTGTATATGCATGTATGTGTATGCATGATTGTATATTTGTGTATGTGTGATTGTGTGTGTATGTGTGTATGTGTACATGTATATTATGTGGGTGTATGTGTGTATGTGTATATGTGTGTATGCATGTATGTGTGTAGGTGTGTATGTGTGTATATGTATGCATGTATGTGTGTAGGTGTGTATGTGTGATTATGTATGTATGTGTGTTTGTGTGTTTGTGTATGCGTATGTATGTGTATATGTATGGATATGTATGTGTATATGTATGTATGTATGTGTGTATGTATGTGTTATTGTGTGTGTGTGTGTATGTGTGTATGTGTTTGTATGTGTGTATATTCTGGCTCAGGTCCCAGGGAACCTTTTCAAAGCACCAGCTCATGCCTGTGCCCAATTGAACTGCCCGGGGAGGGTCAGTGTGGGACAGTTCTATGGGAGCTCCAGGCAGAACTGCTAGGCAGTGTGTGTATGTGTGTATGCATTTATGTGTATGTGTGTGTATGCATGCGTGTATGTGTTTGTGTGTGTATGTGTTGGGGGGAAGGGCTGACAGGGCCTCTCACTGGCATGGAACTCATCCTGGAGACTAGACTGCCAGCAATCTGCCTGTGCCACACACCTGCCCCCACCCTCTTTGCACATACTGTGTGTGTGTATGCACGTGCATATATGTGTGTGCATGCAAGTGGAGCCCCAGATCGACACCGGCTGTCTTCATCAGTTGCTTTCCATCCTCTGCGCTTGCTGAACCCGAAGCTTGCCATTTCAGCTACTCCAGCTAGCCCACTGCGCCAGCCATGTGTCTGGATCGCAGGCAGGCCACCACAGCGCCGGGGTTAGAATTCTAGGGAGCTGAGCTATGGTCCTCCAGCTTGTGTGGCAAATGTGTTACCCACTGAGCTATGTCCCCAGCCTCTAAACATACTAAAAGGAGGAGAAGAGGAGGGAGTGGAAGAGGAGAGGGGGGAGGGGAGAGGAAGTTGAACAATAGTAGCCCTTGCCGGTCATCCCAAGAGGTAGGCTGAGATGGGGATGGAGAATCCGAGGCCAGCCTGGGCTGTGTAGCAAGACCGTATCTGAAAGAAATGAAAGAAAAGGAACCAGGAGCAGCTACAGGTCCACAAGTGCATCCCAGGCCTGGGTGCCAACCACGTTCCTGCCCCTGGAAGGCAGATGCTGAGAGACGATGCTGTTCAGCCAAATTATTTTAGGGGTGTTTAGCTGGATTCCCTCACTGGCCTCACTAGCTCCAAGCTGGCCTCCTAACCATCAGGCCATACCACCTTTCCAAATGTATCAATCTTCCACTGGGGACCTGAGGATTGTGGGACACTGGCAGCTCTCTGCACCCCCGGCTAAGGGAGAGCCAGGGTGACCTTGTGCCTTCTTTGCAGGTTTGTGTCTCATCTGTGCTGTGGACACGGAGCCCATAGGACCAAGAGTCAAGTGAGTGTCTGTGAGATGAGGGTGGCACCTCAGACATACTGAGGGGCTGGGAGCTCGAAGGATATGTGCTCCCAGGCCTGGGAAACTATGGGGTGGGTATGGCCTGCAGGGGAACAGCACAGATCTCCACCAGCCTTCACCAGTGTGCCTGGGGACATTTAGTGGTACAAATGTACCTGGGTGCTCTGGAAGCGGGCCTGAGATCAGCCAATGGCAGGGCTGTGTTTTACCCTCCAAACACCCACCATTCAACTGCTTAGGAAGACACTTGTTCATGGGCTCAGGCCCCAGCACCCTACACTTGATCAGACCCGCAGACCCTAAGACCCCGCTGCAGAAGGCCCTGGTCCCATATAAGCATGCAATGTGCGATACCACTCAGCCCATTTCAGATGCCCTTGGCTTGCATAGCCATGGATGTGTGGGTACCTGCTCCAGGCCTGTGCTCAGACCTGTTCTTCAGCCTCCATGAGCCCAAAGTCTGTTTTTCCAAGGGAGCAGATATGGATCAGACCCCTCTTGTCCTGACAGGAGTTGCTCTGGACTTCTCTATGCTAACTGACTTGTCCCTACTGGCTAGTTCCTGGAGCAGGCTATTGGAATCTTGTCATGGCCAAGCCCACCACAGATCATTCCTGGGCTTTCAAGATGATTTTCTGAAACTACCCTCTATCCTTCCCGCCTGTGGGCAAGTGGCTTTGTGTCCTGTGGGCTTCTGGTGGTGCTAATGCTATTCAGTCAGAGATGGCCATCTTTGGGGACAGTTCCTCCTGGCCCTGGTTAATGCTACAGGGATGTCTCTGGAGGCCCTGCCACTTGCTGGTCCATTGATCGCCTATTAAGAAAATGTCCTACAGGCTTGCCTATAGCCTTATGGATCTTACACAGATATTTTATTGATTGAGGCTCTCTCTCTAAGTGACTGTCTGTCCTGATGGCTCCAGACTTCTCTGGTCCTATACCCTAGCTGACTGCTTTCCTGATTGTGTGTGGCTCAGGGCTTGGTGCTTCTCCCTCACTTGGGGCTGTTCCAGTACATGCTGCAGGGAAGAGAGCTTAAACCTGTTCTTCTCCCTCCCCATTTCTTTTCTTTGATAAAGTAAGGAAGGACGAGGCACTGCAGCGAGGGACATTGTTTTCCATGCTGTTCTTCTGATAAAAGAGAAAAGGGGATGTCCTACTTAAAGTAGCTGTCACCATGATGAATCATAACCAAAAGCAACTTGGAGAGGGAAGTTATATTTCCAGATCACAATCCATCATTGAAACAAGTCAGGACAGGAACTCAAATAAGGCAGGAAACTGGAGGCAGGAACTGATGCAGAGGCCATGGAGGGGTGCTGCTTACTTGCTTGCTCAGTCTGTTTCTTATAGAACCCAGGGCCACCAGCCCAGGGACAGAACCACCGAAAGCAGACCGGACCAGAACCTTTGCCATCAACCATCAACCAGCAATTAAGGAAATGCCCAGCATGTTTGCCTTCAGGCTGATCTTATGGAGGCGTGTTCTCAGTTGAGGTCTCCTCCTCTTGGATGATTTTAGCTTGTGCTAAGTTGACATAAAGCTGTCCAGCATGGGGAATTTTGTCTATCTCAATGACACGCCTGGCCTGCTAGCAGTATCTAACAGTGCGTACAACCCACGTGTGTTGCTTTGTAGGTGCTGCCTGGAGGCCTGGGGCATCCTCTCCGTGCTGGTGGGCACCTTCATCTTTGGGCAGAGCACAGCTGTGGCCATGGTAGAGCTGCTCTGATGTGGGCAGACACCATCACTCCTGCATCTGGCCTGAAGACCCCTACAGGTTCTTGCCATCACAAAGGTGCTGCCCCATCTGTTGAGCTCTGCTTTCCTACGACTCATGGGACCCTGGTGAGGAAGGACTGCTGTGACAAGTGACTGTCACGTGGTGACTCGGGACAATAGAAGCCCATGCTACTAAAAGCTGTACTGTGAGCTAGAGAGTGTTGGGCCACTCTGCTTCAGAAGGTTCTGGAATGCTCCTCCCACTGTCCTCCACTGGTGGGGTTGCAGGAGCTCCTTAGTGTTATTGGCTTGTACATGTATCACTGTAGTCCCAGTGTCAACATCTGCCCTGTGTGTCCTTTCCCAAGCAGGATGCCCAGCTACCTAGTCTAGGCCCTTCTTAACTGAGTGAGCGCTTGTTTGCACTGACGCATGTCTTAGTTACTGTTCTGTTGCTGTGAAGAGATATGGTCAAGGCAACTCCTAGAAGAGTTTGTTGGGGGCTTACAGTTTCAGAGGGTTAGAGTCCATGACTGTCATGACAGGGAGCATGGGAGCACGGGAGCAGGGAGCACGGGAGCAGGGAGCACGGCAGCAAGGAGGCATGGTGCTGTAACAGTAGCTAAGCATTTACATCCTCATCTGCAAGCACACAGCAGAGAGCTCACACTGGGAACAGTGTGGACTTTTGAAATCTCAGAGCCCACTCCCAGTGACACACCTCCTCCAGCAAGACCACACCTCCTAATCCTTCCCAAACAGTTGAGACCAACCATTCAGACATCCGAGTCTGTGGGGGCCATTTTCATTCAAAACACCATATTCTGCTCCCTGGCACCCATAGGCTTGCAGCTATGCCATAAATGCAAAATGCATCCAGCCCAACGTCAAAAGTTCCCATTGTTGGGGTCTGACTTAAGGGTGTGTGAGGATAGACTGCATTTGAGACACAAGAGTAAGAACTAATGTTGCTATTTCTCCGGAAGTAAATCTGGAACGCCCACAAATGTGGGAGGGAGCACAGGAACGCTTGTGACCTTCCTCAGTTTCTAGAAAATAGTCAACGACATTCTCATACCTCAGACATTTTTTCTGAAGACAAATAATATTGTCATGCTTTCTATGAACCTGAACATGGCGGGCTGTGAAGCAGGCGGCATCTCTGCAACTGCCCACTCCTCACTGTTATCAAAGGAGCTACATAATAAACCGAGCCTTGTGCAAATCGCGCCAGGCAGCCTTGAATCCCCTGGTTTCCTTGCGTTTGTCTGTCTGTCCAGACAACCTCACCCACCCATATTCTTTCATAGTCTCAACAGTTTAAAACTCAGAGTTTCTACTGAGACTCAAGACAACCTCTTACGTATGCACTTCGACGTACAATGGCACGGGATACACATTCCAAAAGAGAGGAAAAGGAGCAAAGCAAAACACTGGACCAAAGCAAGATGGAAACCCTCCGGGGCAAACTCCAAATCCTATAACTCGGTGTCTGATGTCACAAGGCTTAGGTGGCTCCATCCTTCCGGCTTTGCCGACTGCCAAGCAGTTCTCTCTTGGGCTGGTTCCACTCCCTGCATGCAGCTCTCCCTGGCACTGCCAGCATGGTGGGGTCTCCAACACAATCCGGGCTTCCCCTTCACAGACTCATGCAGGAACTCCCGTGCCTGCCACACACCTGGCCTCAGCATCCTTTCCCCAGGAGAAGAGTCCACAAGCCATATATTTGCTCCTGTATCCTTCGTGATTCCAAAGGCAGAACCACACAGATGCTGCTGCCAAGTTCTGCTGCTTGCTTGGGATGGAGCCTGGCCCTGCTCTGTGAATTTACATAAGCTTTGACTTCTTGTTGTCCGGTAGGAGCAGAAGACCCCTCAGGCCTTTTCCTTTCCTGAACTGCAGGATTATCTGGGTGGGGCCACACCCTTAGTGTGTACCTTCTCTCCTTTTCTCTTTCAGCACAAATCATGACTCTGAACGTGGGGTTTCCTGGTGTTCTTTTCTCCTCAGACTTTGTATTTCTTTCTTTCTTTCTTTTCTTTTTTTGGTTTTTCAAGACAGGGTTTCTCTGTGTAGCCCTGGCTGTCCTGGAACTCACTCTGTAGACCAGGCTAGCCTCGAACTCTCAAACTCAGAAATCCGCCTGCCTCTGCCTCCCAAGTGCTGGGATTAAAGGCGTGCGCCACCACCACCTGGCTAGACTTTGTATTTCCTTTTGTCCAGTTTGCTCTTGATCATTGTAGACCTGCCTGTGAGTGATCACTAACAACCATGGGGCAGACTCCATATTCGCTGTCTTGAGATCTTCATCCAGAACTTCAATTTAACCTCCGGCATATCCTTACCTTGTTTGTGGGGGAGCCACGCGTGCCAGGGGAAGGTAAGGGGGGGGGGGATCCTGGCTGCTCCTTGGGCCCAGGTGTTTCCTGGTACAGCTGGAGTAGGAGCCTCTTCTCCAGTTTGGTGGAATCTCTGTGCCAGACTCTTCCTACCTGTGCCACGTACTGTGTCTAGGACCTCATGAAGTTGGTGTAACTGGTCTGTGGTTTGATATTTTTCCCCTACCTGTTCACAGGCACGGAGTTTCAATGTTGAGAGGTGGTTTATACACTTTAAGACTCACCCTTTGAAGGCATGCTGACCGTAGTTCAGTGTAGTCAGAATTTAGCCACAGTCACAGCCCAATTCCAGTGAGCCTGTTCACTTACCTCCAAAAGTCTCCTGAGTCCTTTAGCGCTCACTCCACCTCATGTCTGGGCTTGGGACCCCAGGGTCCCATGAACCTCTCTTGGCCTGTGTCTCGCTGGCTTAGCTGTCCCATGAGCAGACGCTGCAGCAGTTGGTTGCATGTGACTACCCTGGTGTCCTGTCACAAATCCCAACCCGTAAGCTTAACAGTGAGTCCACTGGAGCAAGGGAAGTCAAAGCCACCCATCCTGCCAAGGTCTTTATGAGAGCAGACTGCTTTGAGCTTGAATTCCCTTTCCTCTTCCTCTCTGCTATTGTGCACTGTGGAGTGACCAGAGGGGTGGGCCTCCTGTCCACCTTCATCCTCTGGCCATCCCCGTGTGACCTGCTGGACCCTCATCCAAAAGCTCAGGATCGTCTTAAAAGGGTTGGTTTCCAGAATGAGTCCTGCAGAGTGTCTAAGGACTTGTTAGCTCTTTGGGGCAGGCAGTGCCCAGACTGCGTAGCATCGCTGTGAAGGTTTGCAGCCCTGGCTGGGGGGTGGGGGTGTTTGGGCCCCTGTGACACCACTTGATCTACTAGGTAATGTCAGACCAGGGGTAGTAAGTACCTAGGTGAAGGAGGCTGGGGGCAAACGGCTTTGGAGCTGAGCCATTGGCTCTACCTCCAGGAAGGTGTGTGCATCTGTTCGAACAATAGAACTCTCTCTCTGTGTGTGTGTGTGTGTGTGTGTGTGTGTGTGTGTGTGTGTGTGTGTGAAGTGTTCTATGTGAATAGTAGAAGTATAAAAGTTATTCCAATCAGCTGGGGCCCCAGCTGAGGGTGAGAAACGGGAGGAGACCCTGAACTCTCTGGCAGCCAAGGGGAAAAGGGAGACAGTGCAGAGGCAAGGGCTTGTCCAAGAGGAGGGTGTATGAATGCAGAAGTGAGGATGAGGAACCCTGGAGGGAGGGAGGGAGGGAGGGAGAATGAGGACCCCGGAGAGTGACTAGATGTCACTACTGGGGACAGAGGCATACATCTCAGTTCTGTAACAGGATCGGATATAAGTCAGAAATCTGCATAATGAGAGGCTAACTGGAGAAATGCAAACCGGACACTACACTCTGATGTCAAACCAGTGAGTGGAGAGGGGAGGGTGTGAGGGAGGGAGTGAGGGAGGTCCTGCTTTATTTCTAAGTGGATTTCAGGTTTGAACAGCAGCTGGCTATGGGAAGGGCGCAGCGGGCACCCTTGGACCGCTGCTGCTCGGCTTGTAGGCTCTGTGGCCCTCATGAAGTGGGCACCCTTTCTGAACCGTGCTTATCCTTAGGTCGCAAGCACAGCAAAGCCCCGGCCAGTGGCATTCCTGGCTCCCTGTCCTTCTCTAACACTTCTCTATGTCCCATTCTCAGTACCTATTGTCCTCCAGTGAGACAAAGCTAAAGGCAGCCGAAGGACCCACCCCAAGGGACAGACACACTCTGTGTCTTCAGCACAGAGCAGATGTCACTAGCTCCCCGTCAAAGGTGACTACTGTGCTTGAGTGTCCAGCCCCCTCTCCCATGTCACCACTGACACTATGTGCAGAAGGTGCGATGTTCCCCCTGAGAATCACAAGCTACAGGGGCCACCTTGTTCCAGGGGAACCTCTTTGTAGGCCAGGGAAGCCTTGGCTGCTGCCTGCAACCTCAGGAGTAGCCAAGACCCAGGCTCACAGGATGCCAACGGGATTGCCGTGAGCATCTCCTGCAGAGGGCTGTGGTGGACATCAGCCTAACAGGGAAGCAGCTGGCAAACTAGTCTGGCAGGAACTGAAGGCGTCCTGAGGAACCTCTTGTGACACAGCCGTCACTCCAAGGCCTCCCTCCCCTCTGGAGTATCATCTCCTCCTGGGGCTCCCTCTACCCTGAGAGCATTCTCTTCACCAGCCGAGCCACCACCTGTCAACCTGCCTGTGGGTTGTACAATCCATGGCCACGTGTGTCTGATGACTGTCACTCACTAGTGCAGTGTTTGCCAGGTTCATCTGTGTTGTGACAGGTGTCAGCGCCCTTCACTGTGACTGAAAGTAGCTGTCCCTCTGTATCAGATCTGTCTGTGGATGGGGAGCCTCTCAAACAAAAGGTACTGTGTAGAATATGGCCTGTGCACTGTTGTTTTAAAACAAAATCCCAAACATACAATTTACCAAATGAAGACGACTCGAGCTAGATGCTGTGGTGAAAACCTGCTAGCCCAGAGAGGAAGAGAAAGCACCCAGCTGATCTTCCCACTCCACTGATGTCCCAGAAGGAAAAAAAGCTTCTCCTCCTCCTCTCCCTCCTCCTCTCCCTCCTCCTC